CTCTAGGTGATGGCCCAGAGATCTTCCAACGTGGAGGGAGGGGAAAAAAAAAAAACCTGAACATGGCTTACTGTTCTGGTATACAACTGCCAGATGAAACGAAAAACAATCGTTTTGTAGCACCACTCAGAAGTGGCTTTAAAAGTAGGATGCTTTGGGCCCAGCACGTAGCCTGGTGGCTAAAATCCTCACCTTGCACATGCCGGGCTCCCATATGGGCGCCGGTTCTAATCCACTTCCCATCCAGCTCCCTGCTTGTGGCCTGGGAAAACAGACAAGGACAGCCCAAAGCTGTCTACTTGGGGGAGTGAACCAGTGGAGACAGCTGACTCCTGGCCTCAGATCAGCTCAGCTCTGGCTGTTGCAACCAGTTGGGAAGTGAATCTTCTCTGTCTCTCCTCCTCTCTATATATCTAACTTTCAAAAAAAAATCCCTTTTAAAAAAGAGTAGATGCCTTTTCCTGAGGGTTTAAAATCTGTTTAGAAGCAGTATTTGATGTGTTTGCTAAACTAGATCAAGCTGTGAAAATAAACAGTTACATGTACACTATGGGGAAAAGTGGATACCTGTGTCTTATACAGTGGTATGCAAAGGATCCATCTTGCAGGAGAGGAGACCAAAAATTCACCCATCAGATCACGTTCTACCCCTACTAGAAACATCAGGTTCATAGAACAAGGACATGGATCCCTGCAAACATAGCTTCAATACTGGGGTGGGCTTGATGTGTCTTATTGCAGGTAAATAAATGACCTTTATGTCACTGTATCCCCAGAAGTATAATAAATAGAGGAGTTATCATAGCCAGTACTTGATAGATAGGATAAGCTGATGGCTTGGTGTCCAGGTGAGCTGCTTCCAATTTCCTTAGTGTTCTTTTATCTTGTCTTGGCTGGATGAAGACACAATCTAAGAAGGACATGGTGACAATTTCCGCAGACAATGCAAAAGCACAATATGGCAGTGGCTACAGTTTTCTTATCAACATATGATCCTGGGGGAGTACTTCCAGACCACGTAAAAAGCTGATCCAAGCTACCCAGACATATCCAAGGACTGCAAGACCCAGCCTCAAAAGCTAAGCCTCCTCCAGAACCTCAGAGCCCAACAGCCAGCTACTTCCAGGATTAGCCCCATCAGAAAGTATGGGCTTTCTCAAAGGTTATACTTTCTTCCTGGGGCTGATTTCCCCCAGCGGCTTGACCTGGTAAGGTAAAGATATGACTCCTTGCTGCAATGCAGGATAATTCTCCGGAATGAGTCAAGTTTGATAGATCCCTGAGGGATTAGTTGATGGCAACTCCTCATTCTTATCCAAGCCATCACTTACCACAGGTGTCAATTAGCAGATCACATTCACATTAACATTTTTCTGTAGATCTCTAGCTCACTGTTTCTTGAGGAGAACCTGAACTTGAGCAACCACTTTGTCAACTCAAACCTTGAATGTACTAAAGTGTGCATCCATTTAGGCTCCTTTTAATAGAGCGAACTCTCTGGAGAAAAATTACATCATTCTAAGGCTCCTGATTTTGAAATTTCTTTCTATACTTGAAAACCAGTGTTACATGGAGAGAGGGAGATGAACACACACACATACACACAAACACACGCTGGTTGAGAGAGAGACAGAGATAAACAAAACAGGTGGAGCTGTGTTAGGGTGAAGCCAGGAGTCAGGAGTTTTCTCCAGGTCTCCCTGGAGATGCAAGGGCCAAAATTCTCAGGTTATCTTCACTCTACTTCTCCCAAGTCATTGACAGGGAGCTAGAATGGAAGTGGTGCGATCAAGACTGGAACTGGTGTGTGTATGTATGACATGTACGCAGGTCTACTCACTCTGCCACAACGCCAACTCCAAGGCACTGATTTTTTTTTTATAATTAGTGACTTTCAATAAAACAATTGCTGAACATATCAAGCAGTAAGTCCGCAAAGGGAAAATAAATAGAAGTAAGAATCAAGGATGACTCTAATTAATTGATCTTGAGAAATATAGACTGTGACATAATTGGGATTGCTATCTTTAAGAAACTAAATTTCAAAATACTTTTTTTTTGGCCTCCAAATTGGGATTATATAAAAAGAATGAAATCGGCATTTAAAACTAAAAAAAAAAAAAAATGACCGGAAGATTGAATATAGAAGATGGGATCAGTGAATCATGAGTTTAGAGTATACACACTGAAATATGGAAGGCAGAAAGGATGCGACAGATTAAAAGGAGCACATAGATAATATGGACAAAGTGAGAAGCATATTGTATATAAATAGAATTAAAAGGTGAATTTATTTTGGTGCCAAATTTGGAAAACATTGCCTAGTTTTTTCATAGTACAGTCCTCTGTGCTTTAGCGAACACCAAGCATTAACAGCCAATCCATCGTCCTGCATGGGTGTAACACATCGCTGCATGTTTATTACATTTAAAGTGAATGAAGCCATTTTCAGTGGCATGTGTGGTGTCTCTGGGCCGGGCCTCCGAGCCCCAAGGTCGGTTGGTGGGGTAGGGAGGCGCTGTCTGGAGTCTGGGGTTCCCCTCCTGGGCCAGGGCACCTTAGTGCCAGCGAACCCCATGGGCCGTCTGGAGGCACCATCTGAGTGCTTGAGGTTCTGCGCTCACGGGTGGTATGGGTTCTGGCACAGGTGGGGCGTGCGGGAAGTTGAGGAGCCCCTCCAGGTGAGGAATGATTTCTGAGGGACTTTAACGGACAGGTCCTCGTGCCTGCAAATCAGAGCTTCTTCAGTGGTTTAGATGGAGCAAAGGATAGCATACCCAGATGCAAACGAGGTTATGGGCCAGATGCTGAGACACACTGGCACGTCCATGGGCCTCATTAGCCCTGCCAAACAGGGTCAATATCCCTCCCTGCGCCAGCAGTGTGTGTAGTTGGCTGAAGTATCGTGAGGCAATCTAGGCCCGTGATCTGGGACTTTTGCCTGGCCAGATGCCGAGATGTGCTGAAGGGTCCTTGGGTTGCTCTGGGTACTTGGAGGTATGGACCTATAAGGCATCTGGCAGAACAAATTGGACAACAACCCCAGGCAAACGATGACAGCAAATATCTGGGCAAGTGAAGACTCTGAGGCCTGCTATGTCGGCCAATGAACATTGAAACGGATCCCTCATCCGGGGATCAGTGAGATGGATACCATTTCAGAATTATCGAAACCACTTGGACAGAACCCTCGGAGTATGTGCCACATTGGGACCCTGGTTTGATATCGGGTGGACATTTTCAATCCCTGGGTACTGGGGCAGTTGGGAGGCTGGGTATGGCTTCTCACCTTATCCCACCTCAATCCCTGCCCACACCCCCCAAGAAAGACGAACAGAAACATTGGAAACAATGATCACACCCACTTTTCCCTAACCCTTGATCCATCCCACGCTGACCAATTATGTTATCATCATCTAAAATTTAAGAATAAAAACAATTAAAATTAAATAAATAAATAAAAATAAAAAATGAATGAAGCCATTACAGTATTGCTGCATGTGCTAACCTCCAAGAAGTTCCTACTCCTTCCAGACACTTCACATTTTTGCCATTCAGAAGGTACTGTGAGAGAGTGGGCTTTTAGTCTAGTGGTTAAGATACCCACACCAGAGTGCCTGGCTTCAATTCATGGCTCTGGCTCCTAATTCTAGCTTTCTGCTATAGCAGACCTTGAAAAAATAAGACTAGTGTCGTATGCCACATTATGACATTTTAGCAAAGAATGATCCAATGAGGTTATGTCACCCTGTGATGTCATAGTCATCTTAATTTGCTCATGATGCTCACACAACAATGAAATCATATAATGGGTATGTTGTATGTTATACATAATGATGTTTGATACAATGTTACGAAGTGCCTACGTCTCTGGAGAGTATGAACCACAGGTGGTTCTTCAAGGACAGTGAATGTGATGCTGCTAAGAACACAAACAAATAAGGTGGCATGAATAAGAACCCAAACAACATGTAAGAGAGACAAATTATGACCATCATAGAACTTAATATAAATGGAAGATAACATCATGTGCTCTCCTGCATAAATTTATTTTTGTATCCATGGTTTGTTTATTTTGTTGCTGAGTAAGTAGTATCATTTTTTTTATAACTACACATAGTTTGTTAATCCTTTTTCTATTGAAGGGTACCTGATACATGACATTTTTTTTCATTTTTATGACTAAAACTTCCCTGAATATAACTGTTAAGAAAAAAGAGAAATGCATGTATACATAGTTCTCATCTTTCTTGCAGGTACATGCAGGTGTACAATTAGCACTGGGTAGTACAGCTGCACAGAAAAGACATACAGGTTTAGATTAAACACTTTATACAAAGATCTATACCCCCCGCACTTTCTCTGCCTGCTAACTGGAATGCAGACTTGACAGTGAGTACTGGAACAACTATTCAATGGTTAGCTGCCATCTATTTACAATGATGAAGCAACAAGGTTGACAGAACGTAGGTCCCTGATGGTTATAGAGGCACCAGAGAAGCCTTATAAAGAGAAACAGCACACTGTATTTAACCACTGCTGAGTATTCATTACCACAGCCAAACCTATGTTCTATTTAGTTCAGTCATAAAACATCAAATATTATCATTATTTGAGTTTTTTAGGGTCTAAGCTGAGGCTAGAGACTACACTGTGCATGAAACTGCTCAGAGAGCCATAGTTTCACCTGCATGACCTGAAATAAATGTCTCAGTAGATGTATTATATGTGCTTCAAAACTCAACCTGTCGATTTCACTTAGTGCTTTTGCAGATGCAGCTCAGCATAGGAAAAGGGACAAAGAGGAGTACACAGAAATTTTTCCCTAAAAGTTTCAGTTTGAAAATGGTTAGTCTTTTCTTTCTCTTTTTTGAGAAGGTTGGAAATTATTCTTCTGCCTGTATGTCTAGAATGCCATAGCTTGTGGGTATGTGACTCACTCAAGTAGTTTCACATCACTAGATGCTCCTGGAAAACTGAAGCATCTTTTTGTCTTTCAGGTGGAAAGCAGAAAAATAACATCTTCATAAAGAAACTCCAGGGGATGCTTCTGTTTCTAACTGCTCACCTGTCCCTGTATAGCCCTAAGTGGTGAGGTTATTTTCTGGTTAAGTCATGTCAGGTTAGAACACTTTTTGTCTTTTTTGTTTGTTTTTGATTTTTGTTTTTGCTTTTAACACGAGGTACACCTTGTTAAGTATGGCAAGAGTGGTCTTGGTCACTTCAGGTAATTGTGAACTGCCCACACTAACCTAGGACAGTTCTCAAGGAAACATTGCTTGAACCCAACTGGTTGGAGTCGAAGTTCAGCGCTCTCTCAGATCCACTGAAGGAGATTCTCCTGCTGGGCATTGGCCCATTAGGTAAGTGATCTGCATCTCATGTTGGAGTGCCTGCATTTGACATTTGCCTTGAGCTTCTGATTTAATCTTCTTGCTAATGTGTGCAGTGATGATGTCTAAAGTAGTTGAATCCTTGCCACTAATGAGGAAGGCCTGGATTGAACTGTAAACTCCTGGCTTCGGTACACCCTAACCCCCGCTGCTGTGGTCATTTGGGGAATGAAACAGTGGAAGGGAGCTTTATCTATTGGCTCCTCAGATAAGCAATTATTTAAAAAAGAAATCTAGGGGGAGCCTGCTCTGCAGTTGCTGGTTCTGGGTAGTCAGTGAAAAGATGGGCATGAGAAGGCATACTCAAAATGTCCTAATCTGTTGAGTTGGGGAGAGCCTCAGGGAGAAGGTTGAGATTTATGGAGTTAAACCTGGAGAACTGAGGACTAGAGCATCCAAGAAAAACCAGAAAAGTGTCCTTAACGATGAGATGATGAATTTCTCTTCTAGGATTTAACCTGAAGGAAACCTTAATGAATATCAATACACATATACACAAGAATAGCTACAGTAGAATTTCTGGCAAGTTGGTATAGTGGAAACCATCTAGATTTGAATAATAAAATATATTAGAACTATAGTATGAAAGGTGGAGCCAGTGCTGTGGCTCAGTAGATTAAATATCACATATTTCAGAACAGGATTGAGTCCAGGAGACACTTTTTCTGATCCAGCTTCCTGTTAATGTGTCTGGGATGGAAGAAATTGATGGCCCAAAGAGCGGGGACCTTGCCACCCATTTGTAATACCTGGGTGGAATTCTTGGATTCTATCTTTGGCTTTATCCTGACTCGGCTGTTGGAGTAATTTGGGTAGTGAAGCAGAAAATGGTTTACTTGAAGCAGTAGATGGAAGACACTTCTCTCTCTCTCTCCCTCCCTACAAAGAAAGAGACAGAGGTTTCCTCCCTACTTTCCCCTCTCTCTGTCTCTTTCTTTGAATTGATTTATCTTTTGAATAATAATTAACTAGCTAACTAACTCTATCTTTGGAAAGAAACTATGATACATCCATATGGTGGAATATTATATAGCCAATGAAGTCATGGTTAGTCATTTGTTCTTAATAATTTTTGACTTACGGACTATTTTGAGGTTCTAAGAACCAAAGGTTTTGTCCCTTCAAAAGGTCACATATTCACATAATCTATGTCTACATGCAATTTCATGATGCCTCTTCCATTTCCTGAAGTCAGTCTATCGGACACTGTATTAGCAATCCTTATGTGAGACGTATTTTTACTCATCAGGAAAGGTTTTTAGGAATAGCATATTTTTGAACAAAAAAGTTTACGCAATGACATGACTGACAAGAATGGGGGTTAGAACTTTATGAAAGAAATGTGAAGATCTTTTTGTCTGTATAGAAAAAGGATCTGGGGGCCCGGCGCGGTGGCGCAAGTGGTTAAGGTCCTCTCCTTGCACGCCCTGGATCCCATATGGGTGCCGGTTCTATCCCAGCAGCCCCGCTTCCCATCCAGCTCCCTGCCTGTGGCCCGGGAAAGCAGTCAAGGACGGCCCAAAGCTTTGGGACCCTGCACCCGCGTGGGAGACCCGGAAGAGGCTCCTGGTTTTGGATTGGCATAGCATTGGCTGTTACGCTCACTTAGGGAGTGAATCATCGGACGGAAGATCTTCCTCTCTGTCTCTCCTCTCTGTATGTCCGCCTTTCCAATAAAAAAATAATAAAAATGAATCTTAAAAAAAAAAAAAGAAAAAGAAAAAGGATCCGTAAAGCTACCTCTCCAAATGTGCATAGTGTCTTTGCCAATACTGAGGTTTTTAGGCAGTATTTATTCTTGCCTTTGCTCTCTTTATTTTCCAGGTCCCATGATAGATTTCCTTTGTATTTCTGTAATCACATTTATTAGCCACTTAAGAATATCTGTGACACCATTGACCATCCTTTGCAGTTGTGGAAGTGGGATGTTCAGGACAGAGATGAGAGCTCTGAGGATTGTGCAGCATGTCATTTGTGTGTCACACACACCCAATGGCCTCTTCTTCTGTTGGGGAAGGCCTGGGAGTCTGTCCTTTTCTTATCTGAGTTATTATCTGTTCTGTTAAGAAAATACAGTCTGTATTGTGAGAGCTACATAAATATAACCAGGTAGAGTTCTTGGGACCCTGAAGAGCTGTCCATCGGCATAATCTTAGAGAGTTGTTACACTGACTTGAGTGATAGCAACATATCTGGATAAACGAGGCAAAGATAGACAAAAGGCCAGGGACCTTGCTGTGAAAGGACCAGTGCAAGGTCCTAGAAAGGGATGACTCAAGATAGGCAAGGCTGCTGTTCTCATGTGTTTGAAGGGTATTGTGAGGAAAAGAGACTACAATTGTGTAATAATTCAAACCAAGAAATATTATTCACTACATTCACAATTCACTTTGGATTGTGCTAAGTTGCCAAGTGCTGTGGAAAGATGATTAAGTTGGACATAGGTAGGAGGGAGACAGAGAACTTAATGAAGTCTTCAATATGGTCTGCTCTGTGCCACAATAAAGGTTTGTGGGAGTTGCAGAACAACAAAAGTGTAACTGTACTCTTCTACTTGGAAAGTTGTAGGAATTTTAAGGCTGAAAAGAACTTTCCTAGGTTTAAAAAAAGTGACAAAGGAGTCCTAAGCATAAAGAACAACATATGCATAAGTCAGGGGCTTGAAACCTGGGTAACGTGGGAGTGAGGAAGGGAGAAGTTGTGTATTGAAGTGGCTCTAAACTGTAAAGAGTCATGAATTCCATATCAAATTTTAACATAATCTACAGAAGCCACAGGATATATCAGAGCTTCTCTCATCCTATGATAGAACAAAGCCCAGTGGTAACAAGAACAGATCTTCCTTGGAATGGTCCAACTCTCCATCCTCCTGTGTGTTGACGATGGATTAATAAGAGATAGCTATCTGATAGGGCATTGGAGAGCAGCTTATATTCTTCTACTTTCTGAAGGAGTGGCTCAGCCTCAAGTTTCCAGGGAAGTATACAAGTGTTTGCGTATTTCCCTCTGAAAAACAAAATGGAAAGTACTGAATAGTTTCACTTCTAAGTTAGTGAGATTTTTCATAACAACTGATACCATAATTAATCTGTGAATTATCATAAGCCTGTTTGGGCTACTGCTATCACAGAATATCATGGAATAGATGATTCATGCAAAGGAAGCATCAGTGTCTCACACTTCCCAAGAACAACATCCAGGTACTCAAAGATGTTGTTGTCTGTTAGGGCCCCTTTCTGATTCATAGACTTCTATCTTCTTGCTGTGTTTTCTCTTGGAGAATGGGGAAAGGGAGGCTCTAGAGACCTTTGGTAGACATCCCGTTTCCCTTCCATGGGCTCTACCCTAGTTATTGAATCGGCTCTCCAAAGCTTCACCTTCAAATGCAATGGGGATTTAAATTCAACACATGTATTTTGGGAGTAGGGCAGAAACATTCAGCCTACAATAGTGAGGATACTTGTTATTTGCATTGACACATGTGAAGGCCCAACTTTCTGGCATAACAGGTAAAACTCTCTCCTGCAATACTGGAATTCAAGATTGGCATTGGTTTGAGACCTGGCTGCTTCCCTTCCAGCACAGCTCTCTGGGAAAAGCAGTGGAAGATGGCTCAATCATTTGTGCCACTTCTAACAATGTGGGAGACCCAGATGAAACTCCTGGCTTTGGCTTATGTTGGTCCTGGTTGGTGTGGCCATCTGGGAGAGTGTAGCAGTGGATAGAATATTTCTTCCTCTCTCTTTCTCTCTGTGTAACTTTGCCTTTCAAATAAATAAAACTATCTTTTAAAAAAAGAGAGAGATCATGTATGCAGCCAGGTGGATTTATAGGAGCTCAAGCAAAAGAAAAACAGTGGCTAAAATGTTCAGTCTGAAAATAAAGGAGAATTTATAGATGTCTCTATCTATATGCTGATGAGGGATAGGAGAGACCAGGTCCTAAAAAGAGATGACGGGAAGAAGGTCTAGAGTGATTGCTTATGACTGTGGACTTCACAGGATAGAGCTAGAGCCACCACATGTATGACCGTGCAGGTTGCCATTGCTCCAACTGGCAGGCTTACAGGAGTGGGTGCTGAAAGGGGTTAATGTTCTCTTCCTTGAACTGTAATCCCTGGATCTTCCAGAATTTGGAGAGGATGCCCATAAGGCTTGATGGGGACCCTGGGAAAATTGTCCCATGGCTTGTGGGTAGGTGGCTATTCTAACTAAGCTGAGTGCTTGTATCCCCTACAAAATCTTTTTTGCTGAAATACTGTTTCTAAATGTGATTCTATTTGTTGGTGGAACCTCTTGGGGATAATTATATAAAATCATGAATTAGAGTCTGATGATGGGATTAGTGCCCTTATAACAAAGGATGGGGGGCTGACACCACAACTCAATTGGCTAATACTCTACCTGGAAGCACTAGCCAGTTTATGTCTCAACAGCTCCACTTCCCATCCAACTACCTGCTTGTGAAAGCGCTGGAAGATGGCCCAAAGCCTTGGGACCCTGTGCTGATATGGAAGATATTGTAGCAGCTCCTGACTCTGCTCTGGCCAACATAGCTATTTGGACAGTGAACTAATGGATGGGAGCTCTTTCTATCTCTCCTCTCTTTGTAGAAATCTACCTTTCCAATAAAAATAAATCTTAAAAGATAAGAAGACACATGGGATCGTGTCCCCTCTGCCATGTGAGGGCACAAAATGAGCAAAGCTACATGCAGTAGACACCACCATTTTGGTGCCTTGAACTATTCCTGCTCTCTGGAACCAAAGAAAGAGTAAGTGATTATGCTTTATTATTTAGATCAG